TTTAATGTTGCTTGAATCTGCACACCATTGTTCTAAATTGAGAAACTTCAACAAAACATTAGTGAAATATGACAACAATATTTTTTAATTTAGATTTTAAATCATGGCGTCATTTCATCAAAACTGACCGAAAAAGGCCGTTCAACGAGATTGTAGGTTTAGTTAGTATAGAAGATAATAATTAAAATAATTTTTTTCACTCCCACCTTTAAAAAGCCCTTTATCGTACATGTTTCCATGACACTAAGTGACCTTTTAAATACACACCAACAAGTTCTGGCTTTTTGGCGTTTTAGTCACGGGCTGAAGTTAGTTTTAAGTTAGTTGACAGTTGTCAAATACAATACATCTTGTAAAATACTTCTTAATGTAAACTAAATAATACTAATGTACTGCCGATTTAATACGAGCATTGTAAGCAAGCATACAGTTTAAGATGTCTACTGCTCCTCAGCACCAACTAAATATTATTTTAAAAAAAGCGGAGGTCGATTGGACCCTTTCATAAAATGTTGTTTAATAAAAATAATAAGTTAATAATACAAAAAAATACTTATAATTATTATCAGTTACAAGTTCAGTTAATTAATTGACAATAAAGTTCACATTCACTTTAATTGAATTAAAAATATTTTCGCCAAGGATTGCTCATCTTTATGGCCCACCCTGTATATAAATAATAAACGACTCATTTCAAACAAAAGAGTCTCATAATAGAACCTTGCACCACACCCAGAATAAAACAACCTATTTCACAAAATTATGGTAACTTATCCGTTTTTTTTCGCATTTTTCTCGGTCTTTGTGTTCGTTTCGAAGAAAATTAGAACAGTTCGGTCGGTTTATGGTGGCGACCGCGCCCACGCCAATACAGAAATCGTAATAAGTAACGAGAAAGGCACCTAAACAAAGCACCGCACCATGCTGCTACATATTCGTAATTGTGCTACAGCACATTTGAAGGGCAAGTGGTTCGAAACGTTTGCCATTTATTTTATATTTGCAATAATGAAGAAAAAATATCAAATTGTGGTCGGGTTTTTCAGATCTATTAAGCACCTACTAGGAAATTGAATTAATCATTGCGGAAAGCGCCTAGAGTGAATTGCAGATTTAAAACATAGTTGATTTTGAATATTAATTTTTTTTTAATTTTACCTAATTAATCCTTAAATTAATGTTTAAATGGTATTGAGATTACTTTAGAACCGTTGTATTTTCAAATTTTTAGAGTGTTTGGTAAATAAAGAAACTTGACAAAAATTTAAATTAAAAAATAGTAAAGTAATATAATATTATTATAATACACTCACGTGCAAAATAATCGATCCACACAAATTTTCGATGAATTTCAATTGCAAATAACTTTTTTATTTGATGTCAGATTTAAACGAATATTAAAGAATATTGTAGATAAATTAATGGACAATCGCTTACATTTAAAAAAAATACTAAAAAATAGACACGTTTATAATATACAGGTTTAAACAAAAAAAAATGTTTAAGACACTCTGTAGAGTTAGAACAATATACGGTTTTGCCACTCTACAGAGTGTCTTAAACTTATGGTAAAAAACATTTTTTTGTTTAAACCTGTATATTATAAACTTACGTCTATTTTTTAGTATTTTTTTAAAATGTGAGCGATTGTCCATTAATTTATCTACAATATTCTTTAATATTCGTTTAAATCCGACATCAAATAAAAAAGTTATTTGCGATTGAAATTAATCGAAAATTTGTGTGGATCGATTATTTTGCACGTGAGTGTATTATATTTTTTATAAAAAATCTAATATTATATTAGATTTTTTATAAAAAACCCCAACAAAAGCAATAACAACACAACTAACTACATGAAAAAATTAACAGCAGCTTGTTGTAAATAAGTAAATTAAGAACGGATGGCGAATCGATTTTCACATTATCTGTCAAACCAATGTCGAATTTTACTTTAGATAGTTGGTATCACAAAATTAAATTTAAGGTATACATAGAATTTTATAGAATTTTTGCAAAATAGATAAAATATGATAATAATCGTCAACAGTTACTGTCAAATCGTTTTAACCTCACTATTTTTCAGTTTTAAATTAAATCTAACTCAAGCCCGTGGGCGAAATAGCATTGAAGTTAAGAATTAGGAAATTAATTATTTTGCTCACTCTCAGCAGGGCCACGAAATTACATATTCCTTGCGGGTGTTAAATAAAAAGGTTGTTTTTTAATAATCATTTAATATTGCTTTAAATTCTCAGATAATGTGATAAGTAGTACTTTTTAGTAATAACAAATTAAAACCATTCATAAACTTGCTGTCGAAAAATAATTATCATTGTTTTTTAACAATGGATATTAAAATACTTTTTGTTTAATAAAACAAAATGACACAATTAATAGTCTATATCGCACTCAAGGACCAAAGCACACATTTAGCAATCGTTTCAATTGTAGTCTTTTTTTTTTTCGGGTACCCTCGTCCGCGTACCCACATGGGCGGCGCGGCTTGCTATCGGTATTGTTCTATCTCCCGTGGCCGATCTAATTCTTTCACTTTTAAACCAAACAACGCGGACAAAACAATCGATAACCCTGAACCGCTAAGAGTTAAAGATCAAGCAAGTTGGATTGTTTGTCGCATTGAAAAAATATCGAGAACAATATTCGTTCGATCATTAGAAAGAAATTAGATTAGATGTTACCAAACATTTACGGGTGAATATGCTTATTTTAATTAAAATTTCATTCAATGACTATTGCCAAATACGCACAATTATTGTGTCACAATATACTGATGTATGCCAAACAATCTAAAAAGTTTTCAAAATTTAAGTCATTTTGGTAACATTTTTAATGAAAGAAAGGGTTTAGACTTCCATTGCCTTAATCCATCACGGCGTTTTAAATGGTTTGGTTAAGTAGCTACAGGTGTAAGGAATCCATCATGGCTTAATTCCAAGGTCACATCTGTTTATCAACGGTTACAAACTCAAATTACTCGTTACAAATTAAAAATAAGTCATGTTAAAAAGAATAATACATAACACATTGGAAAAAATGTAATGAACATTAATTTAATTTTCATTAAGAAATAAGTAATGCATAATTAAAATTAAACTCATTACTCATTATTTTAATAATGAATATTGAAACCTTAAATTAGATTAGAATAATTGTCAATAATTGTACTTTATAAATTCAAGAAAAACAGCCCCATGGCGTTAAAAACACATAAAATTAAAAATATCAGTAAACAATTGAAAGTAAAAACAAAACTAGAATATAATCTCTAAGAAAGTAAAAGTAAAACTTTTCATGGACCACAATAGGTACTATATGTTTATAATAATTCTTAATTGAAATTAATAAACATAAAAATACTACAAATTGCTCATTATATTAAACGTAAATGTTCCCATAATTTTTAGAATACACAACGCAAGTATGTCATGGGAATTTCTTAAAAGAATATCAGAAATATAAAACAATTAAAAAATAAAAACACACAATTAACGGTAATGTTATAAATAACGAAAACATTAAATGTCGTTAATGGATTAGGTTTGCTAATTTTGCGGACTATCAAGATTCTTGCCCAATACACGCGCTAATCTCAGATTTTAAGATATTTTAGACAAACGTGATGTGTCTAAGTTTTAAGAACACGTTTTTTGTAGTTGCAACAAAATTTTCTAAAAAATTTTAGAAAAGATATTTCAAGGTGGTACCTATTTTTTATAATATTGCAGTTATTTCGAAACAAGCTATTATTTAAAATTTCCCATTGGGGGGTTTAACTCCCAAAACCCTGTGGATCCGCCTCTGCTTGGCGGTCTTAACCAGGTACCAATCTTTACTCTTTTACAATATTTAGGATATTTAAAAATATATGATAATTACCATAAAATCCTATACTATGAGGTACCTACACTGCCATCGGATTCAATGGTACCCAATATTAAATATTTTATGATATTTTAGTTTAATATTTAATATTATAAACTATATTTATTATATCATGCATGGTAAAAACAGTTCATGGTATCCCATTATGGTAACTAATTATTTTCCATATTTAGTGTAATTGTGTCAATATTTGAAGTTATAAACTATTTTTTTATTTTAGCTGAATAATAGAACGCTATATTAGAACCAATAGTAATTTATGTTCTGATCTTGTAAATCAGTTTTTATTATATCCAATAAAAATTGTACATCATATGGAACCCAATGATTCATAACACTTTATGTAGAATACCATTAAACTAGAAAATCAGCAACATGAATCAACCAGTTAAAAATGGCTTAAAAAGTAGCCCAATAGAACCATATATTAGAACCAATAGTAATTTATGTACTGATCTTATAAATCAATTTTTATTATATCCAATAAAAATTTTACATCATAAAGGTACCTTAAAGCATTTTATATGGAACCCAATGATTCATAGCACTTAATGTAGAATACCATAAAACTAGAATATCAGCACCCAGTTAAAAACTAGCCGAATAGAACCCTATATTAGAACCCATAGTAATTTATGTCCTGATCTTGTAAATCAATTGTTAATATATCCAATACAATTGTACATCATAAAGGTACCTTAAAGCATTTTATATGGAACCCAACACTTAATGTAGAATACCATAAAACTAGAAAATCAGCAAAGTGTAGCACCCAGTTAGAAATGGCTTAAAAACCACATGGTACCACAAAACTGTAAAACACTATTAATCAATTGACATCAAAAACTCCTTACATGGAACCCAACGGTGCGGTACCCGTTGCTCCAGTTAAGTCGCCAGCGAGAACCAAAACGACGATCGTGAATCGCGAGCTCGGTCCTCGATGTCCTTGCTGTAGCACGCGGCGGCGGGTACCAGCAGATTGTCTCGTCGCTCGGCGTGGCCGGCAACGGCGAGAACCCACCCCACCCCGTTGTTAAAGAGCTCGCGGAAACCGCGCGCGATACCGTCCCAGGTACCCAGTCAGTTTGAACCCGGCGTACCCACGACACCGCGATGGCACTATCTTTGTTATCGAGGGGTGCCCACTATTAATTCATTAAATTGATAGAGTATCAAGCGGTACCCAACCGATGCAGCATGTGAACCCTTTAAAGTGACAAGTGCTCGTGATACTTTGTGTGGATTTTACGTTTCTAGCTCAATTATTTTAGTTTTGGGAATTAGCAGTACCAATTAGAATAACAAAGTAAGAAATTGCAATAAAATCAATAAACAACTTTATGTGTTCATTTTCTATCAGATGTTGCGAGTTCAATAACTCACCAGAGAAATTATATCAAAGTGAAAACTGAGGTTTAATTAAGATATTTAATTAATATTGCCCAGCAGAATTATAGCTAATTGGATATTTAATACATCATCACACAAAGTTTATATTTAGTGCACACATGTATGCAACAATAAAAGATTGAATAATTTTTGCAATTCACACATGTGTAGTGCGTTCACATGTTTATTTTGCATTGAAAAAGCATACGCAACAATAGCAACAGAATTTCCTATTTTAAATTAAATTTAAAAAAAAACAGCACCAACCAACTAAACAACAAAATAAACAAACTCGTGATTTATTACGATAATGCCAATTAACTTAATTTTAGGATGCACTATAGGAAAAACCGCTATTACCTGCATCAAAGCTATTTTTATCAGACATCTTTAAAAAAAAGTAATTGCTTTTAAAATACCAATTGAAATTATAATAATTATTGTAATTATTCAGAAAATAGCGCACAACTTATAGGGTATTTATTTTAAGAAAAAAAATTGTTGACAAATAGTTTTCCAGTTCCAATGTCATTTCAAAAAAAAAAGTTAAAACTCGTTAATAATAACAAAGTAATAAGTAAATATAATTTTTCCATAACAACCGTTTTAAGATGCTTAAATTGGCCTAAAAAATACACAGCGTTTTTTATATTAGTAATCATATTAATAACACGTGCTAATTATTAAACAATACAGAGTACCTACATATGAATATAAATGATATGATGAATAAATAAATATTTTTTATGAATGCAAATAAGTAAAGTTTAAGAATTTTCAAAACTTTGCAAGGGATAATTTAAGGAAAATAAAACGCTCCTCAAAAGTCCTATGCAATTTTGTGAAAAGTTTCAAGGGAAAAGTTGGAAAATCTTAAAATTTAGTAATAAAATTAAGAGCCTTAACTTAAACAAGATTGCTTTTTCGACATTCTAAACAGTTGTATAAGTAACAATATACAGTGTATTTTTTAGTTATATCCTGAATAGATCTTGAACTTAACTTAATATTTAACTTTTTTATCTCATAAGGTCTGAAAGATTTACAAACATTAATAATTTTAATCGTATAATTTTAAAATTTCTTAAAATTAATTTTGGTATACTTAAATTTGTCTGTAAAATAATATAAAAAATATTGGTAACTAGGGTTCTCTTTTTTGGCCCCCGTTTAATCTTTTTCCATCTTATATGTTTTTTTATATTTTCAATCAAAATTATGTATGCATGTGTTAGATTTTTGGTTCCTTTACATTTTTTTATTCTTGTGTTTTTTAATAATATTAAAGGCATTTTTTTTTAATTAAACATTTTTAACCATATTTTAATGGTAAAAAAAATGGTTAAAAGGGGGGTCATACGGGACTGGACTAAACAAAACAATTATTTGTATACATGTATAATATAATGTATTTGTATGTATAATATAATGTAAACAACGTTTTGAGAAATTATATTTTCAAAATTGTAAAAAATGGCGAATGCACCGGGGTTAATAATTTAAAATCTTAAAAATAAATAATAAACCTTTTGGAACTGTACTAATAAAGTGTTATTTATTTAATAAAATATTTATTTAAATTTATTAATTACAGCCTGTAATTAACAGGCAGTTAAAAATAGCTTTTTTAAATTAACAATTGGGTATTTACACAATAATTAATTTTTATTGTTATTGCCAATAACTTATTGGTTATAGTATTTTATGCAACTAGCGAAGCGAAGCCTGCGGAGCGAGTTTTTATTAAACAAGTGATCTTGGGAAGTTTATAAAACGAATATCATACCATTTTTTATCTGTCGGTTTTTCCAATTCTGACATGTCAAACGGTGTTAACCCCACTTTTTAATTTAATGCACTAGTGCATTAGGTAATTTAATACCCTAGTGTTTTAAATGTTTGAGGAGATAACATTAAGAATTTGAACACTAAGAACCTGTCAAAACAAAAATCGTTATAACTTTGTTACCCCTAGGAATTTCGAAAAAAAAGGATTTTACATGTAATTATACACATTTATCTATATGTATACAGGTAAAACTTACTTTTTTTAACATTTCCAGGAACAACGAAGTTATAACGACTTTTAATTTTAAAAGGGTTTTAGTTTTTTTTCACCCTGTATACAATAATAGATAAACTTTAATAATATTAACCAAATATATTTTAGGTTTGCAATAAAACCCAGTAAACAATTGCGTCACATAAAAAATGCAGAAAATTGCAAATGAACTACATACCTACAAACAATAATGACATAGTAAAGTTAACGTTAATCTTCTATAGGGACATGTTAAACAGTTTTGATGTGTGTCGCGATAACATCGGACCAAAAAAAAAAGCGAATCGAGTTAACAGTGCGTGCGACACACAGACAGAGAAGCTAAAAAATAAAGAGACCGTTTCAGACGGTTTCTAAGAAACACGTTACGTTCAGCAGGCCACTACTGGCCAATTAAAGGCAATTGTGGGAACCGAGACGGAATTAGCCTTTTTTGTTGGTATTTAAATGTTTTGAGAATAAATTTGTCAGCACTAAACGTTTTTTTATCTTAATTTATATTATACACTTTCTTGCTTTATAGGAGAAATGGGATAAAAGAAGTGTTACATATGCAAAAACTAAAGTTTCAGTTCACAGAGAAAAGCACATTTTTAATTTTAGTACTTATTGCTCTAACTGTGGAAGAAGTTACTTAAAACTTAAGCACTAGCAAAATGCATAATTTTCCCAAAAATGTTGACCAATATAATAATAATAGAAGCAAGGTACCTAACCTACTACCAACCATAAAGACCAGTATAGTTCACATTAAAATTAAAAATGTTCTCATTAACTAAAGCAATAAAGTGTGTATTAATTAACATAATTTTTGAAATTTATACAAACATTTTGTAACCAGTATAACCACTATACGTATTACTTTGGAGGTGTTTATATTTATTTAAATATTCGAACCAATTTTGTTTATTTAGCCCATAAATCCTTATTATTAGATTATGTTAAGTGATACAATTACAATAATATATACTGACTTAATTATTTCTTGTATTCAAATTATCTTATTAAGATTCAAAAATTCCTCCGCACAGTTTTATTGACAACTCTTTGAATATGATTTATTTAACTTTGCCAAAATTAAACAAATTATCCATCAACGATATTTTTCTATAATTATAATGATACAAAACCAAAACAGGTGCAACCACTCGCATTATTTTGTAATAAATAATACTAAACATGACAGCGAATGTTGCGCATATTTTTTTAATAGGCATCCGCTTTAGTATTATAATTTACGAATAAGACTGTAAAGGCTACGCCCTACAATTATGTTAAAAATCCATTAAAGTTTCAAACGGAGGAAACTGCGGAGATTGTAAAAACTGATACAACAATAATATAAGATTGATATTATAATTATTCGAAGCTTGCGGCACCTTTATTTATTAAATAACAATTTCGGACCGTATCCGTAGCAAATTCTAATTTTATCAATTTTAATACCTTATTTGTCCGGCATTATCTAATGAAGTATCTAAATATCTAGACAAATATTTCGAATATTAATATATGAAGTCTTTCTATATTGGCTTGTGAGTGCTATAATATAAAAATTGCTATACGCTTGAACAATATTTTTTACATAAGTAAATAAATATTTTTAAATATTTTTGCAATTAAAAACCCACTAGGCGCCAGGCAAGAATTGATATGTATTAAGGTGTAAATAATTACGTGTATGCAGTATAAATTTATTTAACTTGACCTATTGCAAAATTCGAAATGTTAATGAGTTTATAAAGCAAAAGGACATATTTATTAAATACTTAAATCAAAAGATATTGTATACAATATCTTTTGATTTAAGTATTTAATAAATATGTCCTTTTGCTTTATAAACTCATTAACATTTCTATAGATAGTAAACTTATTTATTGCAATATCGTCTAAAAATGGCTTGAGATAATTATTTTTTAATATAGAATTTGAATTTGTGTATAAATAATTATTTAAAGAAAACAAGTTTACATTAAATATTAATTGAATATCGTATACAATAATGTATAAATCAAGGTTCTTAGCTTTGTATGAAACTTCTTTTATTAATATTTTATCTTGACAGTATTTATTGATAAAACACTATAGTGACAATGAATGGGCTTATTGTTAGTTTTTATTTTAATAAAACAATTAATTTTAATTTTATGTACTTTTTCTATAAAAAAACATTTAAATTTCATAATTGTCATAAATTATTGAATTCTGTGTATTTTTTCTTTTTAAATATTGGTTAACAGTGTAAGCTTTAATTTCATTCATACGTTTTTTATTTATTTAGAAATAAATTATATAAAGTTTCGTAAAGAAATGTATGGCATTTTTGTCTACTTATTAGCGAAAATGCTATATGTTTTACTAACAAACTTACACGTCTAGATTTTTTTCTACAGTGTCCCCGACAAAATGTACGACAAAATAATTCTTCATTAAAACTCTTGCTTATAAAAATGAGATTTCCATTAAATTTTTTTGAATCAAATGCGCAGGGTAAAGAAAAGAAACATTAAGAAAACATTTAACGATTTTTTCTAGTGTCACCGAAAACTTTTTTAAAATGCGTTTTACGAATAAATACACGATAAAAATTTGAATCGAATGAATACTATACATTGCATAGGGTTAAAATATGAAAATGCTTCAAGAGAAGTATCATTATATATTATTTTATAGTCGTTGACGTAAACCAAACTCATTTTATTTATCTTTTATTTTTATTATTTTTTTACTATAAAACCTTGCTTGATTTTGACATATAATTTTTATCTAGATCATGTCAACACGATTTTTATAGATGGTGTAAACAATATTTCATTTTAAAAACATTTATTTATTAATTATTATAATGTCGCATT